CCTGAATTTTCTGATACGAAAAAACTACCTACCAAAAACTGTCGTCTTTTCACTGAGAACCGAGAACAATGGAGAGAAATTAGTAGCCAGATATTGAATATCCTCTTAAGGAAGGTCTGACCACATTTCAATGTTGAGCAAAATGATATAACAATGGGATTAATTTATTTACTGTTTTCCATGACGTACTACTATACGATCAGAATCAAGATTTTACCATCACTGGATAGATACTCAGTTAATATGTTTTATATAGAATAGATCACATAAAATTAGACGAACAATTCACGACCAAAAATAATGAACCGGAATATATGTAAGATGGTACCACGTTCAATACGATTAAAAGCAGTCAACACAGTCGGTCTATATCAGAACTCAATAATAGGAGTAAGACAACACACTAAATTTTCTATAAATGAGAGTCTATTTGGTTACGTTTAGTTGACAATCGCTTCTTGCTTTCACTAATCATGCATCTCAAACAAGAATAAATTAGCTCTAAACTCTGAAAATCGTAAAGTAGTTTGTGACATCCTGCTGTTTGAACGTATAGTTTGAATTATTCACAGTTTTAGGCGTCAACAATATAGGCAGAGTTTGCTCTTCTGGTTCACTGCAATCTGAAATCCTATACGAAGGTGATGGGAATATTTTTATGGCCGATATTACGCTGGCAGTTTACGGACAAAATGGAAGTAGAGGAATATAAGTAAAATGAAAAAAACTATTGGGAAAACGAAAACGAGGGATTGCAAAATAGGTTCGTTATATAACATGATAAAAAGGCAAAATCAAAATACCTTGGTTTACTGATTGTGATCTTTGTTCAACATTACTTGCGTTTTTAGTTGAATTTAATGTACACTCAGTGCAATATTTATTCTGTTTTCCAGTGTGATATCTTATATATCATATCGTCAATTGATTTGAGTGTGATGTTTAATCAAAGTGCAATATCCCTCGTATTGAGTTGACGCGAACAATGTTCAGCGTGGTTTGCAGCACCCGATTTCTTATCACTCTGGATGCTTTACATACGTGTGATTTTACTCTAATTAATGATCAAAATGGGTGTACGACCAACATACGACGAGCGTATTTTCCACTAGGGTTGTCGTCCTCTTTTTGGGGTTAATAAACCCTCAGTTGTACCAGTTTCTGGTGTTCCTACTTTGCGTCGTGGGAATTGCAATGATTCCCATAAAACGTCTGTCGAAACTCGACAGCTTTTTTATCGATTGTTATGTCTCCTATCGGAGAGTATTACTTACTTACTTACGCCTGTTACTTCCAATGGAGCATAGGCCGCCGACCAGCATTCTACAACCCACACTGTCCTGGGCCTTCTTTTCTAGTTCCTTCCATCCAATTCTTGTTCATTTTCCACATGTCTATCTCCATTTCTCGGCGTAATGTGTTCTTTGGTCTTCCTCTTTTCCTTTGGCCCCGAGGATTCCACAGTGCTGCAGCCCTTTCCGCCGTCATTGCTAAATCTTCCACATATTTACGTTTGTCAGTCCTAATGCTCCTCTTTACTTGCTTGTTTACTTCTGTGTATTCAGCTTGTGCCTTGGCTTCTTCTGCCTTGTTCGACTGGCATTGATTTCTGTTTTCTTGTTCCTCCTTTCTTAAATCTTATCCAGTGTATCAACAGTGATCCATTCCTTGTGATGGTGCTTCTTGTGGTCCAGGACCTCATGATATGTTGAAGTGATTGCCTCTTTGATCCCCTTCCAGTTGCTCTCCACAGTAGTTCCTTCTCCATTGAGTAGATCATGAATGGCCTGGAACTTATTGCTGAGGACTATCTTGAATTTGTTGAGTTTGTTAGTATCCTGAAGAAAGGCCGTATTGAACATTTGTGATGTTTTCCGCCCCATCGTCTAGTGCTTCTTGAGTTTCGATTTCATCTTGGCGACCAGCAAGTAATGATCTGATGCTATATCAGTTCCTCTCTTGATTCTCACGTCTTCCATTGTCCTCCTGAACGTTCTGTTGATGTAAATATGGTCGATTTGGTTTTTTGTAGTGTGATCCGGTGAAATCCACGTGATTTTGTGAATGCGTTTATGTGGGAATATGGTGCCACCCATGACCAGTCTATTGAAGGCACATAGGTTTGCAAATCTCTCACCATTTTCGTTCCTTTCTCCCAGTCCGTGTCGTCCCATGATGTCTTCATATCCAGTGTTGTCCGTTCCAACCTTGGCGTTGAAATCTCCCATCAGAATAGTCAGGTCCTTTGTTGGGCACTTCTCGACGATTGACTTCAGCCTATTATAGAATTGATCTTTAGCGTCTTCATTGTAGTCATTGGTAGGCGCATAGCATTGGATGATGTTCATTGAAATACCCTCTTTCTTTGTTTTGAAGGAGGCTTTGATGATCCTTGGTCCATGAAATTCCCATCCTATAAGTGCATTTTGTGCTTGTTTGGACAGCATCAGTGCAACTCCTTGTGTATGTGGGGCATTTTCTTCTTAATGGCCGGAGTATAACAGAAGCTCTCCTGAGGTTAGTCGTTGTCGTCCAACTTGAGTCCAGTGTGTTTCACTGATCCCAAGCACCTCCAGGTTGTATCTCCTCATTTCTGAAGCAATTTGAAAGGCTCTCCCGGTGTCCCACATTGTACGAACATTCCATTTACCTAAATAAATGGTTGCTCTGGTTGTCAGAAGGGGCATCGGCCTCGGAACTTCCGAAGGAACTTGGCTTTCACCATGAGGCATCATAACTCTTCTAAATGAAGATCTTCTGACTCCCAGGGCAGTTTCAAAGGTTTGAATAATTTTTTCTGGTCAGCGTTTTTTAGCGAGTTAGTTTTCTACGGGATGGGGACGCTAACTCCATGCCCAACCCTCCTCCTTTATCCGGGTTTGGGACCGGCAGCAGCCCTCGTGGGGACTCCAGGAGGAGTTACAATCTGGCTCAATCATCGAACGTAAGCACACTGAGGAAACACATTTTTAGATTAGTATGAAATAAACTTCTTCGGTTATAGATAACCATTTTATCTGAATTGCAAACAATAAGATGGGTTAAATGAACCTTTAAAATCTTAAATGTTTGTGAAAATCAGAGTCTTCAGTGTCTGAACAATCCATGTTCAGAGAATCACGTATTTTACCAAATAAAAAACGATCGGTTGAAGGTTCGCTTGATTACAGTCAAATAATACCCAAACCAACTAGCTGCATAGCTGGGAGCTTAATAAAATGGACTGTTATGTTACTTGTATATGAGGTCCATTCTACCTGGTCTATCCAACCGAAATTACTCCGGGTTACAAATTCACCAGAAATTGTATCTATGAGCTCAAAATACTGGTAAACAGGATTTCATTTCCTTCAGGACTTACAGATGTAAACCAGGGTACTCCTTTGATGAAATATAATCAACCAGTCAGTCCCCTAGTTATGTGATATAAACCTGTTTCCACAGCATGATATCCATGATACGCGCTCGCCAACCGAGCCTCAAAATATTGTCATCTTACTTTTACATAAAAGGGATAGTCATGTCAAATTTCAATTTACAGACTGACGTTTACGCTTTCCTTAGTCAAGGTCATAAAGACAGCTATAAATGAATCTCTCCTAAACAACTATGCCCTCTCTTAACATTAATATGGATGGCCACCAGACATATCGTGTAACTCAAACTTTTGACAGTCTGTGATGGTTGATCACTCGGTGGACTATGACCCTGTTGTGTATTTCTCTAAGGCTTCACGAAGTCGCTCATCGAAATTTCCACTGGAGACTAGAATCAATATGTATGACTAGGCTCTTGACTAGACAAGTTCTCTAAGTTGTCTGCAACAAGTTTTTTCTTCGTGCTACTTTGCTTCTAATTGTCTATAAGTAGCCCTCCAGGTGATCCCGATTCCTAAAATCCTTTATAAGCAGTTGATTTTAAGATTTGGAGAGGAATGGATAGTTTTACAGACATCTCTACTCTTTGATATTTCGGTCGGATATTGGTAAATGCAGAATACTAACGGCTGACAGTAATAACATATCAATCTCGTACCTCCTGAACGATTTAAAGATCAAATGGTCCGCCGTGGAAAACGACCTAGGTATCATTAAAAGTTGTATGCTGGATGTAACGTCCAACTGAACTGATATAACGAAGAAAGTCACTAGTATTACGGGGATCCGCTCCCGAACTTAAGGTAACCTGGCCCTTGAAGTATACGAAACTGCCTCAGTACTTACCAATAACTCTATTTGAGGAAAGTTAATCGTCATATCCACCATATCACCAAAGACATTACTTTCTTGAAACAAGCTCGAAGGAGCCAATAATGTGCATGAACTTAGGAGTAAATCATACTTCTCCCCCTAAATTTCATTAGAACTCCAACTTGTTTAGCATAGAAAGGTAAATGAGATTATGATCGTAATGTTGTTTGTTGTTTATAGTCACCAATCCAATGATGATAGCACAGGGATTCAGTGTTTGACAACGCTTTTACCAGCAACACCTAATATAATTCGTGCCCACCAAGAGGAATCAAAAGACAGAGTCGATGAGATCGGAAAAGTGTATTTGGCGATAACCAATATATAGGAATTCTCTGATCTAATCTGGCTAGCGATTGCGGTAGATGTTGAGCACAGCGTTACCACACGTGATCTGGTGCGAATGCATGACCGAGCGCCTTCAGCTAGATGAGTCCACTAAAACATATGGCCAGCATCCAATGTTGAAAACTTACAGAGCTATTTATTTTGGGGATTTATTTACCGCCACACCAATAAATCAATAGTGCGTCTCAGCACTACACTACACTTAAAACGGGCACCAATTAAACGTAGAACATGAAAAAATATAAACGTAAACATATTATGGATACGACGGAATCTGAATCATCACTCCTGTTTTTAACCAATGCTCTCTCCTTCAACCAGGAGGCAGGTCTCAAGGAACCAGAAATCTGACATCTTAGGCCTGTAAAGTTCGATCGTTTGAAGTTTGATCAGTCTGAGGCGCGACTAGCTCTAGTTCACTTAGGACTTGTGGCACATTCAAATTAGTCTCCTTCACGTTGGTTGGTTATGCCTAAAAATAAGGGTAAGATGAGGTGAAGTCATTATATTAATTTGGATATAAACTCGGGATTTTTTCGGATTAATGTATCTCCAATTCTAAAATTCAGGAAAGGGAGGAAAGAATCGGCGTCGAGGGAAGAACGAGAATGAAAGTCAGAAACGCGACTTGATATACAAAGAGGCTGGTCAAGGTACGTATACAATTCATAAGTTGTGTGCATAATTCCATACTACTTTTTACCTTTAACTAGCTGGTAGATGGCACTTTGATTATTCGTGACAATTGTCTAAACTTTAGAGTTCTTTGACCCAATTTATATTATGTCACTAGAGTCAACATTTACTGTATTTACTCTTTGAAAGTTCACGTGTGCCATCATTACTTTCATGAAAGCATGCTAAGTGGATCTGGTAATTGTAGTTCTTACCCTTACAGGAGTCCAGTCACCCTATAGGTATTTTCACATTATTATTTTACTTGATTGACCATCAATCCATGAAGTTATTGACTCTTGGCCATGAGGTATGGAATCGTGGAACAAAGTCCATGCCCATATGGTTGTAGATCTTTTCCTCAGGTGACTCAATATCTGCTGAAGTTTATGGGCAGTCAGCTTATTTTTCCTTCAAATATTAAGTCTTTTTATTACCTCGCACTTTTTCTTACTACGCTTTTAACACAGTAAATACTTTTACTTCAACCGCCTTAATTTTCCTGTCGTTGCTTTCCTGTTTGTGACGAAATGTTACAACTTTATAACTTACCAATTGATTTAATAAGACTCGCTACTTTGATCCAATAACTAAAGCTCAAAGCATATTCCCTCAGACTAAAAGCCTTAATGATACTTTATTACTGTTCTCTGGTTCACTTTAAGTACAAGTGTAAAGGCTCCGACTGGTTTCACTCTTTAGAAGGAGTGGAAGTATAATATCTTGACTGCTCCAAACTCCTCTATATGCATGATAATGTTAAATAAGTGATAACGATAAATTCTAAAAAAAACAATAACAGCAAAATTAGATAATAATCTGTCATACCATGTTAACAGAGCGAGATGAGATCATCAAAATGACTAATAAATCAGTAAAAGTGTCAATATCAGTAGTAGTAGTAGTAGTAGTATAGAGTTAGGCATGAAGAATATGATTCGAAAAGGGTTGTTTCTCATAAGGATACAAGATAATATTAAAACTTAAAACCTAAGTTAAAACAAAGAGGAAATACATCCAATTTCATCCAAGTCTTAAATGCATTGATATACCTACTGAACGCTTAAACTTTGACGCGTATTTAAGATCAAAAAGCTTTGTTTCTTAAGATTAGTGTCAATAAAATTGTTCAGGAGGGCTATGCTGTGAGGTTAACTGTTGAAAAGATATGAACCAATGCCGATTTTGTTGACGTACAATCACCTCTCCATTGTTCCAAACCAATGGTAGAGCTATGGGGTCACTCATTCTCGTTACAACTTGAACCTTCCAAGAAGAATACTTGTCAAAATAGGTCCCCACTGATACTTGTCGTCAAACATCTGAAGGTACAAATAACCTCCACACCAAGGAAAATCCTTAATATAAACAGTTTTAAGGGTGACTAAGCTGAATACATCTTAAGGAAAGCAATTCTTGATTCTCCCAAATGAATGTTCCTTACAAAAATCTTACGATTAACGTTCTCCTGTTAACCTGTGTTTTGGGACAACTCAAATGATAAGCTCTCGCAGTGGATCAATTTTATATGAATTTATCGATCCATTTTCTCCTTTGGAGCTAGGCATATAGGTCGTTGATGCGACAAAATCAATAAGGAGCTCCATGGTCGAAAATCTTATTAACACAGGTTATTCGATCGAAATAAACAGCGTTCAAATATATCTACATGATAAAAGTTAGTGTACTTCATAACATTTAATGTATCTGCTATATATCTGAAACATCCGGAACTGTATATACGAAAAAACTTATCCAATCTGTTTTTCTACAGTGGTTTTGATTCCTTTTCAAAGCCACCATCTATTTCCTCTATTGAACTTTTGTCCCGAACCGACTTATCTCCATTCCCATGTTCTTTCTGATTACAGTTCATTTTAACTTCAACTATATAACCTATCACTTCACAATCTCTCTTTCACAACTGGTAATCTTTATGCGCTTGATAAATATTCATGCTCATGACTACATCAGTTTCCTAATAAGAGTAATATCTTCGTGTTTTTTATTTTACTTTCCTGTTACTATATTTGGCAAATCGATTATTATTAGTTATTTTTAACATTGGCAGACATTATTGTTTATTATTTTGAAAAGTAAGCTTTTGCGACTTTACAGCTTTGAGGATCAGTCTTCTAAAAACAGAACTCTTCGCTGACCCAGTCTTCCCTATTTTTATTTCTCAGTAAGTATATTTTGTTCCATTATCTGTAGGTATGGCATTTACTTTGGAATTTCTAAGGGCAAAATGCCTTTACAAGACTGGCAGGACCCTGAACCTCCATTCACTCGGTATTGAGCAGATAGAATTAGTCGAGAAATTCGTGTTCCAGGATATCTACTTAAGTGCTGATAGTGACGTGAGTGATGAAATCGATCTACGTATAATGAAAGCCAGAGTGGCTAGTGCAGATATGGTTAATCTTTGGCGCCTTCTCAATTTTATTCTGGTTGTATAAGGTCGGTGACATCAGTTTTGCTCTATGCTTGTGAGACGTGGCCTCTTGGAGTTGAGGATGTTAGATGAATCTCTGTGTTTAGTTACCGTTGCCTCCAAAGGGTTGCTGACATCCAGTCGCAATACCACGTTAGTAACTCATATTTTTGTCATCATGTGTTTGGGCACAGTGACGATAATTCAGTTGGTGTCACTATCGGTGGTTTGGACATGTACTACGAATGTTGTCCCAGCGAATTCCACATCGTGATTGTAAAAAGCGGAGAGGTGGTCAGTGTTTAAGTGTCGTGGCATGAACGAAAGCTGTACAGGACTGACTTCTGTTGAATCTTCACGAATCCCTGGTTAGGGTCCTAGAGATGGTGCGACACTAGCTGGAGACGTTATTAGACATGATTCAGTATAGAAGACAGTGGCGGTCCAGCTGCAACCTTCCTTAACTGAGAGAATTCTTACTAGTTTTTTTTTAAAACAACTGCTTATCCCATTATTATTTTATTGTTTTACTCATACATTAATTTTCTATTCATTTCTTCCCTTTTCAAAATACTGCACTCACCTTCCTTTACTACGTTGTAGCTGACTGACTGACTGAATCCCATTTTCATTGTGTGGCGCATATACATTTTGGTGCTTCCTTGTACCAATTTTTGTGTTCAGATAAACAGGTTAATTCCACTTTTCTCCAAAATTAGCCATTACATCGTCGTCCTGTTTAGTACCACACATTTTTTGAGACCTTATTGTACCAAACGTTTCTGTCCAGTATAGTAGTAATACTTTTCTATTGTGCTCGTTGTTTTAATTTTTTATGTTTTATTGAATAATCACGTATCACCCATCTGATGTACAGTGTCTCAGTCATAGTTTCTGTACATTCGTTTCGGACCACATTTCACGCCTTTATTAGAAACTCCTTAAACCATTTTATTGGGTAAAGACAATATATTAAGTTTGCCTGGACTTTTTATCAGCATACTTAGTGCTGTAACTAAATACAAAATAATTTTAGGTGATTCACATTTCATGTATTCACTGTGCTAAAAAACAGAAAATAGCGGGTTAAAAAACTGGAAGAAAAAGTAGCTCATCACATTCCCGCTCTACTCAATATATCATAAGGCTTTGACTCATTAATTTGTGCACTCGATTTTAATTTATCAGGTCAAGCATTTAAATTCGACTATAGTCTATGTACTTAAATTATACCAGTTGCATATTTGTTGAACAATATAGGTTTATCAACACTACGCTAATTATTGCTTCAGTATACTAATCGGTTTTTGACTTACAGAGTCTGTTTTTTACGAAAGCATAAATGACCTTGTAATATGCTTGTGAGGTTGTTTGGATGCACAGTCAAGCTTTAGTTCATTGGTTTAGACATTCATCTTCCATCCAACCTAATAGTAATTACGACCCTGACACGGTGATATGACTTACAGATTTCCAACCCATCTGTTGAGGTTTTAAAAAGTACAAAGCCAGTACAACAATATGCGATTCACAAAATGGTGTAGTGTGACTGTTCTTAGATGATTGCTCTCCGGACTACAGTTACTGTGTATTGTCGACAAAACGATTAACACTAATCCCATTATTATTTATTATTATTTATTTTCAGGCCACTATAAAAAATACTCCCATGGTGTGTGACCAACCAAGAAGCATCAAAATAATCCAATCTGTCATAAGATTCATCCCCTATTTTAAATAATTAGGTTCGAGTTCCTAAGTACTAGCACATCAGTCTTCTTGTTACAGGGGTAACTTTGAACCTCATGCTCAAACATCTGCACGGCTAGTCAGCGGTGACTCAGTGGTTAATGCCCTTGGTTTTCAACCAACAGGTCCCAGGCCCAGACCCCGATTCACCTACTTCGGTTTGGGCAGCCATGTAGTATCGCTAGTCCTCACACTAAAAATGTAGCTCAAAGCCAAGTATACGAGTTAATAATTGTGGACAGTAATGTGAGGGACTTAATGAGTTGTTGACTTAATTTTGATGTTTAAGGTAGTTCTTAACGTGTGTTTATTCATAACCCATTATCCTTTGGCTTATAGACATATAGTATTAGAACAAACCAGCAAAAGATAGTTTCCCATTCAATAAACATCCTTGTTTTGTACCCTAGGTTCTAAAATGGCTTCAAATATGTTTACATTAACATCTAACCACTACTGCAATTTTCAGCACCGTTTGACTTTCAATTCGATGCTTTTTTGTAGTTATATTCCAAAATGTGTACATAATCCAAGTCATCAATATAAGGTGACGCTGCTATTCTGGGTATTCATTGACTGGTGCTTGTACTGTTTTTTTTCGAAAACTAAGAAATTCTAGAAAATGAATTTAATTTTAATTCAAAATGTTGACTTTTATATTTATCTAAGTGGGATTATTCATAACAAAACTCGTTTTTTTCTGTGTTCTTCATGAATCAAAGTTTGTTTCAATGAGACTTTATTACATACTAATTATTATCTACTTATATTTATATCATATTTTCACGGAAATATATTGTTTTGTTTCATGGTGCATTTGGTTTTATAGAATATGCAAAAGTTGAACGCCTTTTAGGCAATGGTCGATTAGAAGCTTATTGTTTCGACGGTGTTAAAAGGCTGTGCCATATTCGTGGAAAGTTGCGCAAAAAAGTAGGCATATAAACATATGTTTGTAGTGTTTTAAATTTTAGTTAGTTGTAGTTTAAATGTATATGAAAATCCTTGCTAGTGTTATATCGCGTTGTCACAATATTGTATCAGTTGGCCTTTTGAATTCAAATAACCATCTAATTTTGAATAACTTGGTGACATTAATAAAATTTTTAGTTAGTGGTATTGGTAGGTACAGAGGATCCACCCTAACTCCAAGCCATTAGTGCACATGAGCTGCAGGATCCAGAAGTAACAAACGCATGTGAACCTGTTGTTCGTCACTGGCTGCAATGAGGCCACATCTCCTAAAATTGCCCCACTGCATTGTGGATCAGACTTCTGGATCAAAGGCCCAAGTAGTGTCTCCCTAAGAAAACCATCTAATTTGGTCTGGGCACCAGGACAGTATCATAGCCCACACACAAATTCAGTGATTTGTATGATGCATATATGTTTGGTACTCCTTTGTACCAATGTTTATGTGTTAAAATAGTAATAATAATGATAATATTGGATTGTTGAAATGTTTTTTGTCTCAACAAGCGTTTCGTGCATATAAAGTTAATAGCAAGATCGTTAAATTTGCATTTATTCGCCACTCCCAACTAAAATACAACTTTATAACGATTGTGTAATCATTTTAAACATATCCAGTTAATAAACGGGTATAAAAGTCAACTCTTCCATCCACGTTTTACAACCGAGTTTCAGACACGATGAGAAGTGCATACTAAACACTTATTTAATAGTAACCCACAGCTTCATTAATCTGTACTTTGTTGAAGTAATTGATCAACATAATATTTGATATACCCCGAATAAATTGTTTAGCACACAGGTTTGAAGCATATAACACCATAATGCCTACTGCTTTAATTTCCAGAGTCTATTGGAAATTTTAAATTGATTATTGTCGGTATCACCAGTTTTAGAATAATACAGATAATGGAATTGTGATTCGTATATTCTTTATACAAGGAGAATTATCTTATTATCTCGAAATTTATTATTCATAAGTAACTATCGTATATTAACAAGTAACTTGATAATCGAATTATCAAAATTATACCAGTCAGATAATCTTTTTTATTTACAATTACCATACGAAAATTTGTGCCAACTTAATAACCGTCATAATTATTACATAGTACATCATCTCATTAGAAATTAAGCTTCTAACTACTGTCTTTAGTAATGGATTGTTGTAGCTTGGTAAAATACCAGTATGATTACTCGTGGTATACTGTAAGCACAACTTGCTCCTGTGTATAACTGAGCAAGAATTGATGTTGTTTAGTATGAAGATGAAGGCAAGATTGCAGATGAAAAGTTTGTCATACATCAGTCACAAATCCAATACTGATTCAGTCTCAGTTTGAAAAAGACAAGTGGCTGGATGGCGCGTGTTAGTCTTGGCAATGGTGGTCTCTCAATAGATTCAATTTTCTTTTGAAAGCGTCGACAGATGAAGCCTCATTCACGTGCTGAGGTAATGAACTCCATTCATTGATGATTCTATGGAAAAGCCGATAGTCAGCTGACAAGTAACCTGAAGATAAGTAATTTGTTTTTAGAGTGTCCTCGTATATTATGTTTTGGAAAACAAGGAAAAAAGGGTATATCTGATGCATTTTTATCACTAATTTAAGAACTGTGACCAAGTCACCTCTGGTTCTTCTGTATAACATTGGAAATAGGTTTAGCTTAACCAGTCGATCATCATATGAGAGCTATACAATTCCGAGAATCAGCTTAGTTGGGGTTTTTTGAATTATACGGGACTTATCTGATCAATAGGCAAATTTTGATGCATTGTACTAGACAGTACTTGACGTTAATCAGTAGCTTCATCCACGTATACAAATTGTGTAAGTGTCAATAAATTTAACTACATTAACTAACAATATCAATAAATCACTGAGTTTCATATTTGCCTCTTCCTGACATGAATTAAACAACTTGTTGCAAAGTGTTGTCGCAAATCCAGTAAAGGATTTCACTTGAGACAAAGACTAAGCTGTTGTTGAAGGTCTTTTGTAGTCTTCCTATTCTGTATTTTTATGGATCGTGGTTGTAGGTCTCAAGTTAGTGTAACTCCATTATAAACTCAGATTAAACAGTAATATCCACACCAGCTAGTTGCTCAACTGATCGAAATTTCTGTACTAATATTTTCATTTTTTTCATTCGTGATCTGGTTTCATCGTCAGGAGTTTTATATTTAGTCGGGTTGTTGACCAATTTAAACGACGACTAGTATACCTTTACTGTTTTCCGTGCTAAAAGATTCATATTCAGTATTTTCACCATACTTAAAATACTTCAATTAATCAACGCACATTAGAAACTCTCAAGATAATTCTAGAAAACTGAATCGCCTTTCTATTGTCTTGATTGGACAATTATTAAGTTTTCCATCAATTTTATTATGTTTTCAGAAGCTTCTAAAATTTCAACGTCACATACAATCCCATAAATAACCTTTTTGTGTACATAAACTAACTTTTGGATTATAGCCTCTTTTGTATTTCCCACCTGCTTTTGTTTGGACCCCAAGAGCAGAACATTTCTGGGATCTAGAAAGTCAGTGTTTAAGCGTTCATGTATAAGACATATCATGAATGTCGTCATATGTTTGCATTTTTCTCATATCTATGCATAAATTCTCATCCAATACTGTCTTTATTATAGGTTTGGATCAGTAATGGTGATATCATTTTAATTGGTTTGCGAGATTATCAAGACAATAAAGCTGATGTGATTATGAAGTATTTGAACGATGAAGCTAGAACTCTTAAATCATTAGGCAGGTCTATTTTTTTGCTTTTGTTTCTTTTTTTATAGTTATTTAGCAACTTATTCGAAAACAATCAGTCTATCAGTATCTTAAGATTGATATTCTCAGCATAGGAAGATTTGTGGAGATTGTAGAACTTTCATAGTTTAATCACGAGTCGATCTTGGTTAGACTACAATTGAAAACCTGGAAGCACTGGGTTTCTGTTTCGTTTTAGTACGGGACTTCTCAGTAGTAGTGTAAATCCACGACCTTGGGTCCAGAGGCCGAGCCCAATGTCTTCGTTCTCGCGCGCGAACGCCTAACCTACCAAACGATCAGTCGCTATTAACTTATATGTACCCTAGGTGGATCGCTTTGATACTCCTATTTCATCACAAGGTTTTTAGTAAAATTGGACAACATTTAGCAGTAAAATCTATGACGCACTTCTCATTCTATCAACAACAGGAAAATACGAACTTTTACAAATAAAAATAATACCTGCTGCATAATCTAGTGGCTGTCTAGACTCAGTAGTGACTCAGTGGATAACTTGGCGTTTAAAGCAAAAGGTATCTGTCTTGAAGTCTCAGTATGAACTTTTCTATCGGTATGCAAGTATATCCAACTGACGAGTCCAAAATAGGACGAAATGGGGGTTATAGATTCACTGCTATTCACTAACCTTACTTAAATTATAAGGTAAATTTAGCGATTTGATGTTATTAAACTTTCATTAGCATGTATAAATATCTGTTGATGAGTATGATAAGTCGTAAATATTTATTAACAAGACTGATATAATTTACAATAGATGTGATTAGTTCGTCGATATTCTTATCGAAAGAGTATCACTTTATTTCATAACTTTTAAACCTATTTGAAAAATTAGTGTTTAAAATACTTACAAGTCTTCTAGATTATATTTTTTAATTATTCTCCACTTTGTTAGTTCATGATATCATCTTGTAAGCTGTGTTTTTAAATCTATTCTTAGGTATTGAATTGAAGGTGTCTTATTGATGAGGTTCCTAATCAGTTGACTCGTGTTCGTTATGAATATTTATAACCGCAAAGCGCGAATAGCCATTGAGCAAGTGTGTGATTTTACTTTGGACGGTGTCACACATATTAACCAAACATAAGTTTAGACTATAGGTTTTAAATTCTCGTGACAGCTTTCAGTATAAGTTAGACTGAATTTCCGAGCGTAATATACACCACTATGTGATTGATCACTAAATTACTATTTTTTGTTCAGTCGGTAAATAATTATGCCTGAAAGCGTTTTAACTGATATTCTGCTTAAATCTCTTATGACCATCTTCATAAAATGTAATTATACTTTTTGGAAGTAGCTCTGTTAGCTGATAGACTTGTTTATCTTGTAATCACAGGAAATTTCCCAAATGTCTTTCAAATTTGAACCAATGGCTTTTAGGTTATTAGCTCATTTATGGAACTATAACTTAATAGTTTGGCTCATAATTTTCAACTATTGAATTACCGGTTAGAACCGCGTTCAACCCATTACTTACGTTTGGGTATAATAATAATATTTTCAGCAGTTTCGACCTGGATCTGGGTGACTCAAAAACTGAGTACATATAATTATCCTATCCTTTAGTTTTACTATCCTCTAAGTTTGTTTTTGTAAGTGAATTTATTAAAATCCATGTAACTCCAGTGTATTCCATATGTTGACCATTTTAGTAATATCTGCTGTATTTTTTCAATGATAGGAGAGATTCCTGACACTATAAAATTAGAAGAGAATGATGATATTGAATTCGATGCCAATGCTGCCATCTTCGAGGATGATGAAGATGATGAAAAAGGATCAGACTCTGAAGATGAGGAAGGCTCAGATGATGATGATGATAATAGTGATGATTCTGATGAGATTGCAGAAATCAATCAACGTTATCGAGCTGATACTGGCATCGCTAAAGATCAGCGAAATAATCGTCGAAGATAGTTGGTGTTGGTGCTTCTTTTTAATTGTGGTTTTCTCGTTAAGATTATTCGACCGCATGTTGCTGGTTGTAAGTTGAATAATTTTTGTTGTGTATTCTAGTGAAAATTAATAATTAACTGAATAGTCCGGTGAAATGTTGGAGGATGATATTTCCTTTGGAACTGTGAAAATCTTGCATGTCAAATATCTTATTATCAAAGTTGGAAGTAGTCAATAAGAAATCCTACTTAACCGAGGTTGACATTCATCAACAAAGTGTACCTGCAATCTTAATGGAACAACTGGTAATAAGTGTGGGATTCACAGTATTAAACTTCACCATTGAGCTATTTGAGTTGCGATGTGTTTTCTAGTTAGCGTTTTTTAGCAATGTTGTTGTCTAAGGGATGGAATTGCCAACCTCATGCCTAACCTTCCTTTATCCGGGCTTGGGACCAGCAGTAATTCCAGAAGGACTACAGGGGAGTTGGTGTGTGATGTGGAGTCACTTAAATTAGTAGTCATATTGCAGCTTGTTTGTTCTATAGAATTGAATGCTGAACTAGACAAACCTGACAGTCAGTACTAATGGATTAATTAGTTGTAAATCTTTTTATCAACTTAATCCAAATGATCTTAACTTTCTCAATAATTTATCTTGATTTATCGTTGACTTAAATATATTTTAATCAACTTTTAACATTCACTTTGTCCTGATTACTGATAAAATGTATTTATCAAATGTTATTAATATCATCTTTGTATATTTGAATCAGTCTACTAATCAAATAGTTGTCCCACTTAATCTATTCAGTCAGTCAGCCATACGCAACGTAGAATCTGGCATCTGTGTACATCGAGATAAAATCATGATAATGAATCCAAGAGTAGTGCAGATAGTAACAATATATTAGTAGTAATAGAAAAGATTAATCATAGAAGGTACAATTTGAGAGGAAAATATAAATCAAGGAAATAATAAAAAAAGTATAAGAAATTTAGAAGTCTAAGATCTGAGGGGAAATGAAAAGTGAGTACACTTCTGCCGTCGCAAACGATTTTGAGCCATATCAAACAGTTTTTAACCATTGGTTAAAATAATCATGCGTTGCATTTTTCCTGAATCAAATCGACACTTTTAATAATTATACAAGAAAGGCAACATGATTGTTTCATTCATATAATGAAGTGCTTAGTTAAAAAATGACCGCCCATCTACATATTTTGACGTTAATACTATCCCATCGTGCTTCTTCTTTAAAAAATATGTTCTATCGATAGTATTTCACTGTTAGTAATTTGTATATGTCCATTCTGTTTCAGCATTTACTATTTTACATTTTATTATTAGTAGTAAAACAATTATTAATCCCATTCACTTTTGACATTATTCATATCGTAATAGAGGAATGAATGTACTTGGAATTTGAAACAAATGATAATCAGATATTGATTTTAGTTAAGCTCGTGCAAATGTTCCCCCCACACACGTTAAGTCCACTCACATAACTGTTACCATTGAATATATCTCAAATACCTAAAGTAAATCAACACTTATCAAAGCTATATAGTTGTATATATCTCTGTGGGAAAAATGTCGTTTTCATTTTTTCATCTTTGATTGATTCAGCTTGGTAGTTATTTCTCTTGTTCTATTGATCAAGTACTTCTTCAGTTTTGAAGCCCTCTTGTTTGATTATGTTGATGTATATCTGTGCTGTACTAGGCTCATATTACACACAACTTATTTGCTATTGATTGACAATTCATTGTCCAACATCATGTTGATAATTGGGTGCAGCTGAATAGTAAACAACAAAATACAGTAAATTCATTGTACTCTGCAAATGTGATCGTTCTTGCTTTGTTTAAGTTTATGTGAAAGGAACGAATTATGTGAATCTATACTGATTGCAAATAACTGTTTGACTGATCTTTATTTGTCCGCGTATCATTTTGATCAAATAGTCTGTTTTATGTTTGAAGTAATAGCAATTTACTTACGTGTATATGATATTTTGAGAAAGAATTTTTCAAAATTATCCTCCTAAAACATTTTGCCCCGTCATGACTCTTTTTTATACCTGGATATAATTGTATACTTTCCCATAACAACACTGCCAATGAATATTGTGTCCCAATTCGGTAAAATGTCTTTTTGAAATTTTCTTTTGTAGATTACTTTCGTTTTCGACGGACTGATTGTCCAAACCCTTCCTCTTATGCAGATACTGTAAATCACTTATTGTATGGCATTGATATAAAATAAACATCAAAAATTTCTCAATCAATGGTGACCGTATTACATCAAATACAATAGTATCGTCCTTATTTTTTTTAACATGGTGTCTTTGTGTAATTAACATCCTCAACACTGTATGAAGTTATATTCACTAATAAGGTCTCATTATTTCAGACTTAATTTATTAGACCCTGAATTAATGGTTCCTCTTGATGTTCTCCCCTTCTCTCTGCTTATTTTTCTCAAAATGTTCATTTTCTTTTAGTCGTGATCTTTTCAAAGTAATAAATCTGTTGGTCAGTTAGAGAGTTCCGTCTTAATATTTTAAAGCTGTAACATGGTTGGGGAATATGAATACGGTTATGACATACAGGAATGAATGTATTGTTTTAGAAGGTGCAAAATTTTGTCGCGTTATGAAATGGTGACGGAATGGCTGGTCATTCTTGTAATTTCGTTCTCACGATTTATGCGGCCAGTATCTACGACAGCGCTGTATTCAGGTATTCGAAATATATTATATAGGTGTGTATAACAGTAGCTGCTGCCAATTAAAGTGTGTGTTGGTCAATTGATTTTAATCAATGCTTAATAAATGGCTTGGCAGTGTCGAAATTATGAAGATAAACATAAATGACGAACCTAATGTGTCGGAATGCATCCCAGAGGTTTCTCAAAGGCTTCCTCGGTATGGCTGTGTCCGTTATCCTGGCAATGCAAGCTTTAGCCAGCTGCCTTTCATTCCAATTATGCGTTGCTAGCAGGTAGTCGAAGATTCGGTGTAGTGTGTCAAGTCACTGAGGTGTTTCCTTTCCAGATGGGTTATAGTTGGAAAAAATCTAGGGCGAAAGAATCTGACTGGCAGCAGTAACCGAACGATGCTCAGTCATTTACCAACTTTCGAAAATTAGAACATTTTCAGTCCTGTTAACGTCGGTCTATGGTATATTTCAGTTTCGTACATTTTGTATAGATTAACTGAAAGTCGGCATAAATTTGGTCGCTTGATGAAAATGTGCCTTCATTTTCACAAGAATTAAATTTGGCTTCCAACCATCAGATCTGTGCTATTACATAAGCTATCGTATAATCCCTCCGACGTTCACAAATGTGAGGTGTGCTGATGATCCGACGCAAAGTCCTGGGATCCAAATGGTCTGTTTTGGCAATACCCTATTAAGGTTTACAAGTAATGATGTAACTGCTTGACATAGATAATCTTGTGTCAAAATTACACCATCATAACCTGTGGCCAGGTTTTTTCTATTTTCATGATATATCTGGAGAAGAGATGAGAGCCTACCAGAATAATATTATAGATGTGGTAAAACGGTTTATAGATTTGTGAAAAAAACTGCTGCGTGTATATATCCTCATCACTGACTGATGAACATGCGTTAGTCATCCATTAACTTCAGAAAGTTTATTGAACCATTCAACGTCCAGCAATCAGCCTTCTGAGATGGTGGAGAAGATTTGTAGCTCAGGTGGATGATTTTGATGGAGTTTTGTTCTCTGAGCTGGATGGTTTGGTCGTGGAGCTTTCATTGTTCTTCTGAACGAAATCATCAGCACAAACTTCGGATAGAAGTGAAGTGTTCGAATTTCTCCATATGTGTTTCACAGCTTGTCCTGTGCACCTCGATGTTGATTGGTTCTTGTTGACCTTAAATTTATCATTGTTTACTTCTTTGTTTTGGTTGTGTCTCCCATTGGTTTGATTTTTGTTCCCATATTTATGCATGGTTTTTCTGATTGGTTGATAAATTGGATTGATTTCAATATGTTTGTTGATTGCTGATTGACCTGAGTGCCAGGCTTCTAGAAATTCTCTGGTGTTTTTGGAGTTTCCTCTGTCTAAGATTTCTACATTTTCCCAATCGAATGAGTGTCCGTAGTTATCCACGTGTATTGAAATAAGTGAAGAAATATCATGGCGTTTGACTGCTAATTGATGTTCATGTAGGCGTAGGTGGAGGGGACGTCCGCTTTGTCCGACGTAGTGTTTGTCGCAGTTGGTACAGTTTATTTTGTAGATAATGTTTGATTTGTTCTCCTTTGTTATTTCATCTTTTGGTTTGCATAAGATTGATTGTAGTGATTTTGTTGGTTTGTGTGCCACACCTATCCCGAAGGTTTTCAGCAGTCTCGTTGCAGTTTCTGATATTCCTTGTATGTACGGTAGGGTGATCCTTTTACTGATTTTTGTGCTTGACTTGGGTTGTGATGCTGTGTGCCGTTGGTGTTTTTTGATGAAGTTGATTGGGTGGCCGTTCTTTTGAAATATGTCCTTCAGGTATTTCTCTTCATTTCTTCGTGCTGCCAGTGTGCTGCAGTGTGTCCTCGCCCTCTTGAACAATGTGTGTACCCAGTTGATTTTGTGAGCCCTTCGGTTGTTGCTGTTGTAGTTGAGAATTTGATCTGTATGGGTTGGTTTCCTATATACTTGTGGTCGACGTACTTTTAGAGATAACACTCTCCTCATCTAAATTTACAGGGGTTGAACTTCTACCAGGAGGTTCACTTGTTGACTTAGAATATGCTGATGACATCGTTTTATTTGGTGAAGACACTGACAAAATGCAGAGTCTTCTGGCCACTCTAAGCAACAATGCAAGCATGTTCGGGATGCGATTCGCTCCCTCGAAATGCAAAATGTTGCTTCAGGATTGGGTTACATCGACACCCGAACTAGTGATAGGGAGTGAAGTAGTTGAGTGTGTCGACCGCTTCACTTATCTTGGAAGTCTCATCAGCCCTTGTGGTTTAGTGTGTGACGAAATCTCAGCACGGATACAGAAGGCTCGATTAGCTTTTGCCAACTTGCGTCATTTATGGCGTAGGCGAGATATCCGTCTATCAACCAAAGGACGTGTTTACTGCGCAGCAGTTCGTTCCGTCCTACTTTATGGCAGTGAAACATGGCCGGTAAGAGTAGAGGATATCCGTAGGTTACTAGTATTTGATCATAGGTGTCTTCGAAACATTGCTCATATATCATGGGACCATCGAGTAAGTAACACAGTTGTTAGGAAACGGGTACTAGGTAAGGATGGCAAATCAATTGATGACGTAGTGAAACTTCATCAGTTGAGATGGCTGGGACACGTGTTACGTATGCCCAACGACCGACTGCCTCGACGTGCTATGTTCAGTGGTATAGGAGTAGGTTGGAAGAAAGCTAGGGGCGGCCAAACCAAAACATGGCACAAGTCCATGAAGTCACTGACAAGTGAACTGAGTCATGTTGGTAGGTGTAGACTACCTGGTTGGGGACCGCGAGATGACAGCAACCGTTGGTTAGAGACCCTGAATGACATGGCTCAAAATCGTTTGCAATGGCGCAGGTGCATCCACTCTCTGTGTTCTCCCAAATTCTAATCTTCTGAATTCTTCATGTCCCTTTTTTTCCTCTTTCCAAATTTCTTTCACTGGATTATACTCTTTAAATAACATCTCCAAACCCTAATCTTCCCGATTACTGCTTATACTCTTATTACCTCTACCACGACGGGATTTGAATCGACAAGTGCATCTCTGTGCTAATGTGGTGTGGCAACTCGAACTGATGTACGTACGTACGAAGTTCTACGTTGTTACTGACTGACTGATACTTGAGTTTCCAGTTTTCCTGTATCAGTTCTAGTGATCAATATATCCAAAAATGCTAGTTGGTTGTTTGACTCCTGTTCCATTGTGAACTTGATGTCATTGAAAACGTTGTTGATCAGTTTGTATGTGTTTTCCAGTTCATCCTTTTTGACGATGACGAAGGTGTCGTCTACGTAGCGAATCCAAATTTTTGGCTTGATCACTGGTAATATCGTGGCTTCTAGTCTTTGCATCACTGCTTCTGCGATCAGTCCTGATATTGGTGATCCCATTGGTGTCCCTTTTGTTTGTTTGTAGATTTTGTTGTTGAATTGAAAATATGTTGTTAGGCATAAATCGATGAGCTCCAGTAGACTTTGAATTTGAAGCGTCGTGTATTTGGTGAGATTTGTGTCGTTGTTGAGTAGCAGGGATATAGTTTCTTTTGCTAACTGTGGTTCAATTGAGGTGAACAGTGCAGTTACGTCGAAGGATATCATGAGTTCGTCGTTGTTGATTTGAATGTCCCTAATTTGGTCCAAGAATTGTGTTGGGGATTTGATGGAGTGTTTGGCTGAATCTACTAGATGTCTCAGTATTCGTGAAATTTCTTTTGACAAATTGTACGTTGGCGTTCCGGGGAGTGCTACTATTGGACGTAGTGGAATGTTCGGTTTGTGTATTTTGGGCCTGCCGTAGAATCGAGGGAGTACTGGTCCACTGGATTTCATTCTCCATTGGTCTTGTTTTGTTATTTCTCCTGCTTTGACTAGCTTGTTTAAAGTCTTTGAGATTTGGTTGTCTAATTTTTTGACGGGATTTGTGTCCATCAGTTTGTATGTGCTCTTATCTTCGAGTAGTTCTTCGGCTTTGTTGACGTATTCTTCTTTGTCCATGATTACTGTGGTGCGTCCTTTGTCCGCTGGTATTATGACAATATCCTTTCTATTTCTGAGTTCTTTCAAGGCCTTTTGTTCTTGTGGAGTTAGTTGGTTGTTTTCTTTCACCTGTTGAGTTATCGGTACTATAGTTTGCCTTATTTCCTGTTGTGTTTCTTCACTGATTCCGGAAGTTTTGAGTGATGACTCTAGTGCTGCGAAGAACTCCAGCTTTGAGGCGTCGCTTGTATTGTAGTTTAATCCTTTTTGGAGCAGGTGTTCTTCCGTATTTGTTAGTGGTTGTTTTGACAGATTGATCACGCAGTTGTTTGTGTTCTCTTCCATGGTTGGTTTAGAGATCTTGATTAGTTTTTTCTTTAAGGTGTTTCTTCTTTGTTCTCTATGTCGTTTGCATGATATCTCGATGGCTGTTGTCACGATGTCTAAATGTTCTGACGTGAGCATCCTTTGTAGCTTTATCTTTTGGTCCTCTATGACGTGCTGGTATTTGCGGATCCTGTAGTGTGCATCCGTTATCATTAGGTGTACCATTTTTCTTCCACTTTGCTCAGCTATTCTCCATCCTAATGGGCAGTTGATTGGAGGTCTATATCTTACACTTGTTGGTAGAACATGCTGGCGAAGACACTCATGGAGAAAATATAGTTGTTCTCGAGTGGAAGCCTGCCTTTTGGCGAAATTCTCCCATTTTCGAACAACGAGAAGCGTATTACGCTCATATGATTTTGAGATGGTGGAGAAGATTTGTAGCTCAGGTGGATGATTTTGATGGAGTTTTGTTCTCTGAGCTGGATGGTTTGGTCGTGGAGCTTTCAT